TAAGGAAGTGGTTTTAAGTACTAAGCATCTTTAGTGGCTAATCTGAAGTGATAAAATCAGATTTTATTGCAACATGCAATTCATGCAATTTAGGTTTGACATGTAGTCTAAATGGACAGATTTTCAATTAATCTGATTAAAGAAATCTAAAAGTGTGTGAATGAGGGCAACCTTATTCGGAATGAACGTGTATCAAACTTCAAACATTTCTAGGTTACCAGCTGCCAAACTATTAAAACCCACCACAAAAAACTATAACCTATTAACTGAAATATATTTCAAAAGTCTGTATATGATCAACTGTGTGAAAACTAGCAACAGAAGCTGTGAAATAGTTGTTGGAGTTGTTGTTTCTCTTCTGAAATAAACAGATAGTCTGACTTAACAGAATGCAACACAATGTTTGAAGAGAGCTGGATGTTCCCTACAGATCTGTGCTCTTTATTTAATTAATCAGATACCTAAAGGAAAAAACAATTGACAGCTCTTGTAAATCTAAAGGCTTCTGTAATAGAACTTTTAATAGTGTAATATATCTAATTTTCCTTCTCAGATACTGACTAAAATGGATAGTATTACTTTTCAGTAATGACATTACAAAATGCATGCATATTGAACCTTCTCTTAACATCCATGAAACAAACAAAGGAGCCATCTGTATTTTACTATAAAAATACTATTACTTTTATATAATAATTTATATCAAATACACACAGAAATAATGTCATTCAACATTTTGTCTTCTTGAAAAAAAAGCACAAGAGTTAAGCTGGATACAAGATTTATTAATAGAAATGAGGCCACTAACGTAATAAAGGTCTGTGCCGAGTCATTATACATGCACATTTAGCTACAAAGTCATCCAGCAGATGTTCTCATCCAGAACCATTTTACAATCTAAATACACATCTCTCATGTGACATGAGGAATAACATAGCATTGCTGTCTGAAGTTAGGTGACACCAGTGATGATACTACAAGGCTTTAGTGTGCCAGTGCTATGCAAAGGCACGAGCCAAGTGAGGGCAGCTAAAATTAAATAGACTGAAAACAGAAAAAAAATAATGTTCAATTCAGTTCAATTTGATTTTCATGAAACCGAAGCACAGCAAATGACTTCTCTGGGCAGAGAGGTGACATTTCAGGTGGTAAAGTTAATCGGAGACATGTAAAAAAAACCTGCAGCCGAGACTAAGTGAACAATTCAAATAAATGTCACCATGAAAAACATTTCTGGGCTGGTAAATTGTAGTGTAAGTGTAAAAACTTGCTTCTATTACATCCTCATTTAGGCTGCCAAAAGTCACAGTTCCACACCCTTCTTATGACACAAACAAGAGTTTGTTTGAGTCATAAAGAGATCTTATTTGGGTATGTCAGAACAGGCAGTCAGTGGTAGAAAGTTAGTTAACATTCAAAAGCTATGCTTAATCATAGCCGTGGGATATTTGCGCTGCGCTTCACCATTTTCATTTTCAACTATATTGTCTAGAACAAAAAAAACAATATGAAGTAAACTTTCACTCTGGCATGTAAACAAACAACTGGACTTAACTGCTTTAAAAAGAATTCCCCTTGCAATTTTTAACATGGTCTGATCAGATTTCTAGTTCACATACAGGGCATTTTCATTAAACTGACCTCAAATATTTCTCTTGCCAGACCTGTCTTGTTCAAAGAGAACATAATCCCATCATTTGAGAACAACTGGGAGCTACATAAACAAACCCAGCCACAACTAGCCTGGGGTAAACACTTTTTCATGTGTGCACAGATAGTCAAAATGAGAGATATTAATGCACTGCAAGTAGATCAAATGATTTGAATATTTTTGCATATTGCAGCTGGTGCGAATGTTAGTTTGAAACAGGACGTTGTCCATTTGAGGACATCTTCGCGTTCTTTAACAGGTGCTTGTTATAAAAAGAAATGCAGTGTTTCTACTATCGCTGCACACCCTTTTTGTGCTTGGCACCATCATCTTAACCTCTGGCATCGTGCTCTCAACTCTTGTTATCATCATTATTATCATCAACATCAACCACAGAGTCACCATTGTTTTAATTCTTCTGATCCTCCCAGCCATCACTGTTCTTATCACTTGCTATCATCAAACATCCTTTTAATTGGCATAATGACTATCACCATCACCAACCAGGCCACTTCACAGCAGCGGCACCTAATTTCAGCTTCAGCCGGTCATTGAGAAATCAAAAGTCTAGACCAGAGAACCACAGCAGACTAACTAGCCCTTTCCACATTTTTTCTGTTTTTATATCTCCATAGCAACATAGTATACAGTAAGTATACTACAAATAAATTACTTCTAAACCACACAACACAGAGCAGCACTCCACCCATGGGCATGCAAGCACACAACACTGCTATTCAAAGTCTGGCCTGGAAAAAAAAAGAAGGGTCACCAAACCGAAAAGAAGTCTGTCCTCAAATGCTCACAGCTATTCAGCATGTAACATAATAAAAGATAATGTTAAAGAGCAGCCTCAGGGTTACTCATATTGAGTTACATATTGTGTTGAATTAGAAACTCAGAGCTGCTGAGGTTCATTCTGTCAACAGTAAATTTAGGACAAATTACCATTCATGTTACATTAAGTCTTACAAATAATCCAAAAAGCTCTCAAATGCAAAGAATTGCTTCGGAACGTCTACGACAACAGTGTTTGTTTTCCATAGTTACAAATTTAGAGCTTTTTAAAAAAAGTGATACTTTTGCGATGTGAAGTAAGTAGTACTTCATGGTGAGAGTATGACAGGGAGCCAGCACCCACAAAAACCTTCTGTTTAGATAAAGCAAGCAGTAATCTTTGTTATTATGCCACAGGCATCCGGGTCACTGACCAAATATTTGGCTTAACCCATCTCTCCAGCATATAATCTCTACTAGCTTGATATGTGGGAAACAATGCCTGTGTGATATATAGACTATGTGGGCCAATGCATTCACAGTCTTTGCAGTATGCTGGCAAGTATGTCATAAACAAAAATAAGACACATACAGGCACACTTCATGCTGCTAACTACGGCAGCAGTTTTGGAGTAATTATTCCTCAAAGTTGATGTGGCACCACCTGTCTACTGATTCAGATATGCAGTTTAACCTAAAAACTGTGAACTTCTCCTTTTCTCTGTGAAACCCAGAACTTTCCACAGGAAGCAACAATTCATAAAGGTGGAAGCAACCCCACACCAAAGGTGGATGCGGGATGTTTCCATACCTTAACATCTCCATAAGACCATTGATATACATTAAATCTAACCATTTCTAAAACTTTCTAAGATTACGCCAAATTTAAGCTTTGGTGTGTTTATTGATAATATTGAATAAATACAGGTCATGGAGACGAATAGCTTCACTAAGGCACTTACACTCTCGCGCGGCATATTTTTCAAGAATTGTGGATTGCTCTGCAGCTGACCCAAACCCCAGCCTGACACTGTCTCCGACATTGCAACTTAGCCTTGTAGTTCACAAAGAAGCAAACCAGCTAAATTCTTAGCCAAGTAAACACAAGCCATTGCAGTCCATTCCATCGATATGATTGTTTCTATACAATATCAGTTCTTAATAAATAGTCAAGCAAAAGAAAAGCATCCGAGAGCTCAGTATCTTCAGTTTGAATCATTCACTGTCTTGAGAATGGACGTAGTGTCACAAAGAGAAGAACAGGCTTTTAATAGAAAGAGACCCCCAGCAGAACAACACTCAGGCAGCCATCTGCCTCAAACAGTAGGAGGTTGACAAGACAGGATAGATAGACAAGAAAATTCAAAGCTAATCATTTGATATGATAAGAAGGGACTGTGTGTAGCTGAACTGAACTTTCATATTATTATCTATTAAACAAGAAAGCAAACTGACAAGAATGTGTCATATTAACACATAAATGGAAAAAAAAAACATACACACATGTTTACCCTGATCCATCAATAGAAATATCAGATTGGTGATTCCTTGAACAAATGACCAAATGCTTGCTTCATAAATCTTTTGTGTATATCATCACACTATAATTTTAACTATAATTACATCAGCATACTTTGGGTAACCAGTCTGAAGAGTAAATCAAACCTAACTTTTGGACCAGGAAAAATTCCAAACAAGGAAATGTATTACTAAATCTAAGTTCACAATAAATTGCATTATTTATATTCAAATGATAAAATGATTTTATTAGCAGCCTGAGAATGAAAAATTAATCAGCATCTCACTGAAAAAAAAGTTTGAAGAAAGCGTAAGTCTACTTTTGACCATCTTTGTTTTGTTTTTTCTGATAAGCTCAGTCTTTGAAGTTTCCACAGAGAGAGCTGAATATTGATGTGAGCAGAAAATGTAGAAGATAAGAAATTCTACATGGCAACAGTGTCAAATATAAGACAATTGCTAAAGGCTGAGGCCATCTCAGACCCCTCAATGTCATGATATGTCCTTCTTTTTGTGGTTATATCCTTCAGGTCATCTTGTCGCTACTTTTCAAAATAGACCAGACTATATTTATAGAGCAGCTACAAAAACAGTCATTATAATACCCGGCTCCAGTGCAACACTTCCAGACTGATTTGCATATGTGACAAATTTACTTTACGAAACACTGCAGACAACCTATTCGAATCGTTGCCCTGCAAAAGGTTTTGTGACCTGGAACAGTTTACATGATATCTGACAGTATCTCTGATCACATACCAGCTGAGGATAATTATGATGATGAAAAACACATGCTTGAATGGCTCAATTCTAAAATAGGAAGTAAGGCTCAGAGGAACAACACAGAAAAATGAGGTGATACACACAGCTCAAACAGTGATCACATGCTCACATGAAACGTTTTGCTCTGGATTGTGTGAGTTTGTTCCGTTCAACAGTTGAGTCAACCCTAGACTTTTGCAAAAAGACAATATGGAAGTACAGAGATAGTACAGAGATCTTAGCCCAGATGTGATGCAGCGTGGAAACATAGTATGCATGCGTGTGTCCCAACCTGTGATTATGGCCATGATTGGCAGCATGGAGTTTCCTGATGACCTCCTCACTGAAGTCAAAGTGAACCCTTCCTCTGGCACAGGGTGAACGCCGGTACATTTCCCAAAAACACATGCACTCATGCACGCACTACCCGCCGCACACCATCACAAATATAACCACAAAAGTATCACAAACACTCCAATGGTGTCAAAACTGAAGGACATCTGGCTGTCTCAGACTGGCATACACAGCATCATTAATAATAAAAGCACAGTGATACACAGCAAACACACTTCTTAAATGCTCCCCCTTACAAAACCCATTCACACTTTCATCACGGAAACAACTACTGCTCTCCTTCCAACTGGACAACAATGCATAACTAACTCAGGCTATGCTACTTTTAAACATCTGTTTAAAAAAAAGTTGCTCAGCAGATTATCCATAAACCACCGTCTCTGTGGTGTAAATAAATAGCTATCCAGACACCTTCTCCACACACTCGATCTCATGTTACACACAAGAGCACTATCAGCAGCAGCCGTCCGCACGTCACATCGCAGAACTCTCTCAGCCCTAGTTCACACTCTGACACACTCTAAGCTCTCTTTGCGGACTCCTCTCCTCGTTTCAGATTATACTTCCTCTCCATGCTGCGTGTATGAGTGTGTGTAGCACTATGTTTGTGTGCGTGTGTATAGGGCTCTGTTCCCTTCAGGGCAGCCAAGCAGAGTTGGAAGGAATATTCAAATTCTGGGATGGAATCACTGGAGTGGAGTTAGACCTCGTCCATCACCTACATTCTTGTTGGCTTTGATAAACCTAGAATCTTTAAACACAAAATCCTGCAATGCACATATGCAGCTACCTAAAAGAATAACTGACCAGGCTGTAATGAGCTTGTTTTCCCTGACAATGGCACACAAAATCTTCTACTGTACAAAATATTGTAGAGAGGTTCGATTTCCCAATTATGAATGTCTATGGCATAAACAATAGGGTTGTAATTTGTTTCAGTATTAAAGTATATGCATGCATGCTTTTAATAAGGCACAAATATTATCTTATAAATACATGTAGTATATTCATTGCACTGTACAGCAACACATACAACAATCAATAATCCTCTATCAATATTTCTTAGCATCATAAGAAAATCTTTCCTATTTGGACTCTCTTGAATCTGAGCTGGAGTTTTAACAGGTGATATGTAAATACAGATACTAACATTTTCATCGCCTCAATTCCTGACAAATGTTTTGAGAATTTTTTTCATGTAAAGAATATCTGCCGCTGTATCACTGTTCAGTAAATGTTGTTGAATGCTTGTGTTGAATTAATCCTTTTTTAAATAACTGATTTGATTCAAAGGCTCTCTGGTGATTATTCTTTAATCAAACACTGGGATTTGATTCAACTACCAGGTCTACCTTAAATGTCAGTGTGTGTGTGTGCATGTGTGAGAGAGAGGTGGCATCTGGTATCATCTCAGGGGGCCACAGTGCCTGCTGACACAGTAAAGTTTACTGACATAAAAAATGGAATGAAATAAAAAGATTCTAAAAATTAATTCTAAAAAATCAGATCACAAGAGCATTACAAAAAAAGAAAACTTGGAACTGACAAAATTATTTATTTATCTTTATATTTTCATTATCACAAAAAACTAGTCATCATTAAAACAGCAACTCCATATTAGCCTATTTTAGATGTGTTACATACTGCAAGATTTCAAATTCTTGGCTCATGCGTTATATGTTTGAATTGATGTAACTGATATGAATAGAAAAATATTCTTCAAACCATGTTATATTTGCCTCTATGATAAGAGTACAACAGTAGGAAATATGACGTGCATAAAATCAATTTGATATTGCATGCATGAGCAGTACAGAAAGTTTCATTTCTTAAAACGCTCATAGAGAAAACTCTCATGACTGACAGTCATGAGAGTTAAAGCTAGGAGGCGTATCTAAAATTTGCTGTCATGACATGACAAGTAAATTCAACCATCATCAGTTCTATCATGACTCATGCAATGAATATTTACACAACCACATATTGGAAGCAGTAAAAACATAGAAGGCAAAACCTGAATCACCACTCACACTGGGGCTTGCACAACTGTTTGTCATTATAGGTGTGAGAAACTAAATATTTGATAGTTACAAGGCTCAACGTATCCTATACAGCAACTACAGTCTTCACCACACATGTAAAGTATAGATATTAGCTATAAATAGCTGTAGCTGTAAGTACTGAAAGCAATACTTCTCTATTTAAAAAAAGGAATGGTTTGCTATTGAAATATAAGATTAATATTACTTTTAAATAATATCCCGTTAAAGCCAGTATATTGAAATAAAATGTATGCATGAATTTCCCAGTTTGCAGGAGTCCCTTGTGTGACAGGGTTAAATTATTTCCAAGGTTTTACATACAGTTAAGAAATCGAATGGTCCATAGTTCAAAAACCTTTGCTGTGCACTTACGAAATATGTTGAGCTTCAGTTTAAAGTCTTTTCAATTTTAAAATGAATGCAATATATGGTGTTACTGCAGTTACAAAAGAATGTCTCTGTATTTTCTGCTTAGGTGTGTTGTTGAATCCTGAGGCAGCATGAATAAGTAAACAACAACAACGAATCCAAATCTCTGTAAATTAGCAAGTTAAGCTAAAGCTCCTTGATGGGAATCAGTTAAGTAAACAGCAGTGTGCTTTGGAACAAAAATGACTCATTGTGTGTATTAGCTAAGCTCCGCTTCTTCTGATTTGTCCATTCTTTAAAATAAACAGAATGCACCCACAGAGGCACTGAAAAAACAAGACCGTGGCACCATGCGTACTCTTGTATTAGGCATCCGTTTTAATTTTACAGTGTCACGATGAAAACCTGTTAATAACCCAGTCACCCAGGGCTCTCCTACCTTTACCATAACACATATTAACTGATCATTCAGATCTTCCACTCTCTGACATTTTTAGGGGAAAACTCATGCAAGTTATCTTTTTCAACACAAGAGGGCACCATTTAATTCTGCAAAGAAAGAGTCTGAGGCTGGATCATGTAATCGCCAACGTTCACAAGATGGCAGTATTTTAACAGTGTTTTTCTCACAGTTCAAACTGAGAAGCCATGAGACTCACATGTACGTGGCATACAAGATGTGCAACCAGATGAGTCAGGTCCCACAGCTCTGAGAGCCAGCATTACACACGCTGTGAACATAGCTCTTTCAAATGTCATTTTTGTGTTGGATCGAATGACAGTCATAATGGTCCTGATCTGTCCCGATGAATCTACACAGTGAGAGCTGTGGCAAGACGACGAAAGCCTGCAATCCTCTCACCCCACAACCATCGTAATTGTGAATTAGAGTGAGAGGAGAGTGTGGTCTGAATATCAAGATCAACGCACAGGGAAAATTTGCCACATTTGCAAAGCCATCCCTACACAACACAAATGAGGACGGTAGCTCCAATTAACTTCTTCTAATTCAACTTGAACCATTATTGTTGTGTTACTCTATAATGTGTGCAATTTGTAGGAAAACTATGCCATATATCACATCTCTTCATGTGTAGCTTTAAAATAATTTAAGGGGGCAAAAAACAGTCACAAAGTTAATTGGGGAAGGTTGACAGCAGTGGAAGACAAATGGGGTTTCGCTTGTTGCAAAAATTGGATGATCATCAGTCCTCCGTGTGCAATGTTTGGCACGGTTAAAAAAGACTGACTTTCAACTGTCGGTTTCATCGTAACATCTTCACCATATGTTCTGTATCCATGTAAATAAGATGCACGAACAAATAAACGAGAACTTAAAGCAGAATTTTCAATGGGACTGATCTGTGTGATACTGCCTGAAATGTTTCTTTATTATACAAAAATTATGCTTTATGCATTATGCTTTTATAAAACAGAACTTTGAACCATAAATATATTTTTTAAATCACAATAAAACAAATATAATGACACCTATAAAAGTTCTCTGAAATACACAATTGTCGTAAAAGTAAGCTATTAGTCCTACTTCAGTTCAAAGATTTAACATCTTAAACAAAGGAATAGTCATGGAATAATGATTCTATACAGTGGGATTCTATACTTTCTTCCATGTAGCCTGACTGCATTTTGTTCTCTACTTTCGTTTAGTCTCTTCCTGTAAGTGATTCCATGGGTGATAAGAGGGCTGTGCTGCAAGTCTTCATTTCCTCTTTATATCTTTTTCCCACATCAATAAATCTCAAAGAACAGCCTAACATTCATTAGCATTCATATGGCCATTGACAGAGAATACAATTTGTTCTATAACAGCCATTGGAACTAATGTTCATTACAGGTAATAAAAGGGGTTTTGTTGGATTTTTGTGGCTAAATGTAGGCCCCTACTTGCACATATAATATGCCAAGGAAAATGATGAAGATACAGTTTAATTGGGCATCTATGTTGCCACATGTCCTACACCTTTTGTAAGAATGTGCCCTTACAAAGGGCAGTGGAGTAATACAGAACAGCTTTTCACAACTACACACCAACATAATATGTCATGCATTCACTCACGTTGCTTATTCTTATCAGCTTTTTCACGCATTAAAGCTCAGAGTTTGACTCAAGCTCATTCATAGATAGATAATTAAACTAGGAATAGGGAGAATAAAAATCCAATTTGCTAAGGCTGGGAGTCACTGATCTCATAGACTCAGAGTAAACAGCAATATAAAGAAGTAAATCAAAACAACCAAACAAAAACAATTAAAAAAACAAAATTGATTCCTTTTTTTAGCCACTGTGGCAGCTGCTTATTTTCTGTTTCTGATCGAACGGTAGGGCACACAAGAGTTTATTCAAACAGTTTATCATTAATAACCCTCCACTTGATAAGGAGTGTCCTCCACAGATGTGACTTCACATGGAGAAACACTTCAGTAGTGTAGTATTTCTACAACTATCATTATCTCTTCTATTTCCCTCAAGATTACCTCACTTAGTTCGGATTTGTTCATGGTCATGCATTTTCACTTCTCCATAGCGCATCACGCAATTATTGAGTTGCCATGGAAACCTCACCTTGACGTGTGAAGGGGGAGCAGCTCAAGAGCAAACAGATCTCT